ATTTCTTTTTTTGTATTTTGTAAACCTTGCCTTTTTTACAACCTTTAATAAAAAATAAAAAAAGCAAAATAAGATAATTAAGCCAGTTAAGGTTTGTAATGCAAACCAGCCTTTCAAAAAATTGTTAAAAGACTACCTAGTTGCCCATCAAGTATTTCCATGCCGGCTGGCAATAACTATCTAATACTGTTTTCTCCTTTGTCTACATAGATTCTTCACTCCTGTTTTTGATAAAATAGTTAAAAATCAGGAATCTCACAGCAAATGTTCCAACTCTTTTTTTAATCACTATATATTAATACAGCTTTACTCTTATAAAATTTAAAAATTATATATTTAAAATAATAGTTAATTGTATTGTGATATATCACTAAAATACTGAATAGGCATGAAAACAGCAAAATAATACAGTGATACACTGGCAATTAAGTTACCAAGATGAAACATTCTTTACAAAGCAGAGATGGGAAACAACAAATTAATATCCCCAAAAGAAAGATTTCATAGTGTCTCTGGGGAGTGTACAGCAAATGGCTGTAACATAAGTAGAACTATAAGTTAAAAATTATATTCTATGAATCAGCCTAAAGTTTAATTTACCTTTTTTGCAGCTATATTACAATTTTAATCAGTTTTAAATTCAAGTATTTAATCCCATTTTATGTTAATTGCAAATCTAATAAGCATTCTACCCATCTACACCTCCCCTCACTATCCACCACCAAATCATTAAAAATGTTGAAGTATATAGAATTTAGGATTGAATGTACAGCATATTACCTGATACCTCAAATCTATTTGATGAGAATGCACGGTGTATGATTTCTGAGCCAGTTATATAGCCATTATATTGTCATGTAGTCCAGCCTACATTAAACTAGCATGCTCATTTTTTTTATTAAATACTGTGTTCAAACTGAGACAGTTAATTTCAGGGTATTCAGCAACTGGGTCCACAACCTCTGTTGCTAAGCAAGGTGGTCGTAAAACATGATGTCATGTGACTGCATCATTTAGCAACAGCAATCCTAGAGTCCCAGTTTCTGTTGTAATCTAAGTACCATTTAGGTCATTAAGCAGGAAGAGGCAGGAGTCACAGGCAAGCAGGCCAGCAGCTGCATGGGTGTGCCATGGACAGGGGCTTTGAGCATGAGCAGATGCACAGATGTTCGGTTCCATGGGTCCAGTGTCATGGGTCCACAGCATAGGCAGGTGAAAAAGAAGCAAGAGCCGGGATAACCTTTGACTTCCTGCCATCACTGTTCCCTCTAAGGTGCGCGGCCACGCACGTGGCAAGAAAACCCCGCGCAGCAGTTTCTATCTGCTGCGCAGAGATTTCTGTAAAGCAAACGTGGGGAAGTCCTTTGCAGGCGGCTACANAAGGAAGGAAGGAAGGAAGGAAGGAAGGAAGGAAGGAAGGAAGGGAGGGAGGGTAAAGTCAGTTCATGTTTCTGATTGATGGGACCTCAAAGGAGCGAGTTGGCACATGAAATTGTTTTCTAGATGGGGACCGAGAAGCCTGATTCTTTTAGGATTTCTGTTTGGCTAAAGAAATCTTAATTCTTTGGGGTCAAATGTATATTGATGATGAAAGGACATAGATTTGAATGGGGTGGTTTTGGAGAAAAGCACTTCCTTTCATTCTTACTGTGATTGTCCATCACAACAAGCCCATGCCCCAAGATAACCTTCTCTTTGTGAGAGAGGCCTTTTGCTGGGTGCCATCATGTTGTGTCCATTTTTATTACAAGCAGGGCCTTTGGGCAGCTGTTTTAGTGTAGTAGGAAAATGTTTCATTTCTTTGCTTTACCAGTTAATTATCACTAAGGCTGGCATGGGAGGTTTTGAGCTGTGGAAGGCGAGAGATGCCCCCTCTCCAAAGGGCACTTGCCCCCTTGGCCAGAAGGTCTTGTGGGGGTCAGGCAGGGGCTGTGCAGGTCACAGTAAAGCTGACCGAAATTAAAGAAGCCAGAAATTCAAACCCCCTGTGTCGTACTTGAAAGTTTACAGCGGAGCAGGTGGGAGGCTCCAATGGGGTCCAGTTACGTAAAGTAGGGGGAGCGTGGACTTCTTGTAGAGAGAGGGGGAATCACCCTGGCAGAGGCAGGTTCTGGGCACTGACTTCTCTATCCCGGCACTAGTTCTGAGTGTTCATATCCAGAGTACTCTCGATCTCCACTCTTCGTGGCTGTGAAGACCCAGACGAGCCAATCGGGCAAAAAAACACCGACGGCGCCTATAATCCGGTGCTCCACCCTCCTCCACCGCACTCCCTCCGGTATCCCACCGGCGGCATCCCCGTCACAGACGTTCCGCGCTCCAAATTCTGGATCCCCAGGAAGCAAGGCCACCACAGGTACTGATCATGCTTTCTATCATCCCAATTGATTAAGTCCCCCCACCCCCGACTGTCTGGGCGCCCCCAGGCCCCAAAGGGGAAGGCACCGGTGGTTCCCGGGGGAGGCGTGACCCTATGGGAGGAGCCCAGAGCCCCTGAGAAGCACTCGAGAGAGCCTGGCTGAAAACATCTTTTAGGAATACGGGCAAAGGTTGGAGGAGCAGACTGAAGAAAAAGCATCATTAAATTGAGTGAGGGTGGTAATATTTCATGAGTTTATACAGCTCTGTCTTGAAGTTATTTTGATGTCAACTAAGTATTATTTTTATTGGAAAAAAGAACAGAATACTATTAGATTTCCTTTTAGTTTAGTGTTTTGTACTTTTAAAAAATAAAAAAAAACCTAAAGATTTGCTGGCTAAGACGCTGAGCTTGTCGATCAGAAAGTTTGGCAGTTCGAATCCCTAGTGCCGCATAACGGAGTGAGCTCTCGTGAACTTTTTCCAGCTTCTGCCAACGTAGCAATTCGAAAGCACGTAAAAAATGCAAGTAGGAAAACAGGAACCACCTTTGGTGGGAAGGGAACAGCGCCCCGTGTCCCTTTGGCGTTAAGTCATGCCGGCCACATGACCACGGAGACGTCTTCAGACAGCGCTGGCTCTTCGGCTTTGAAAGGGAGATGAGTACCGTCTGCTAGTGCGAGGGGAACCTTTACCTTTTAAGGATTTGCTAAACCTTGAATGCCATTTTACAATGTTCAATTGGAGGCATTTATTGTGGATTATGGGATTTTTTAATCTGTATATAATTTTTTACTGGCCTTTTTGTCTAGCTGTTTAGGAAAGGACTATGTGCTTGTATTTGGTATTATTTTAAAAGCCTTTTTGACCCTCCTTGTTCCACCGAACCTCTTCCCCACAAACCAATCCAAAATTGGTGGCATGAAGACGCATGAGTGGNCATTGTTAATCTTGCATCCCGACTCAACTCACAGCAAACTTCTGCTGAGTCACAACAGAAACAAGCCGACATTTTTTTAGGAAGATATGTACTAAATAGTCATTGTTCTCATTCATTCCTGGATCTCTGAAGGGCTCAATACCCTCTTCTAGTTCTCACCCATCTATTCATGTTTCACAATTTCCTCCCAGATTTATATTTGGATGTTCCTTCATTATTTTTTCCATTGGAGTGTAACTATGCAACCAAAAATTCATTACTAATGAATTTTACTAATTACTAATTTACTAATTCATACTTTCTCACTTAGGTTTAACAGATCATTCATATCTGAACATCCAGTACACCTTTATTTCTCTGCCTATATTCATCAAGTCTATATGATAGACCTGGACAAGATGGCTGACTGAAGACAGTTCTGCATTTTCGCGGACCTGACATTTGCAGAATTTTCTAAGGAGTTGGTTGGTCAGTAGATTGGTTCCTTTGATTCTCTCTGGATAAAGGGGAGAGACGTGAGATTGCCTAAACTGTTCATCTTCAGAGTTGTTCCTTTTCTTTTTGAAGGGACCTCAAGATAGTTATCTCTGGTGGTGATGGAGGAAACCTGAAGAGGGGGGAATTCACTGTAATGGCTCAACCAGGAATGGAGCCTTTCAAAGAATGTTTATGTCTTGGCATGTCTCTGCTAACTACCTTCCGAAATTGCTTGTTAATTGTTGCAGACAATTTAGACACCCTTCAAAGGGAAAAGATAGGAAATACCTGGTAGGTTTCTGCTTTCAAACCTTAATATAAGACAAATTAAGATTTTTTAAAATCCTTTAAGAATTTAAAACAAACAGCAAAAAATAAGACACGTTTTGGCCACAGAATTGTTTTTAAAAATCAAGAACTCAGAAATATTAGAGCAACCACTGGTTCAAAAAGAGCCGAGGTGACGCAGTGGTTAGGGTGCAGTACTGCAGCCACTTCAGCTGACTGTTAGCTGCAGTTCAGCG